AAAACTATTTGTTTCTAATTATACAAATATCTATGATTATGTAAATAAGATTTTTAATCTAAAACGTTAGTTAAAGGGCTACTTGGACGAAAATTTCGAACCATTAGAAATGACTTGGAATCAAATAGACCTATCCAAATGGGTCTAATAATCATGAAGCAACAGATTTCAAGAAGATATTGATACAAATTCTTGATAATTTGGACAAAAAATGTTGGAGTAGATGACGTCATTTACTCCATCCTTTTGTTCTTCCATCTTTTGAATCAAAATTTATTTGATGTGGGATGATTCCAAAACAAATATAATTTTCCCGCAATTGTTTTTAATAGATATCAATGAGTCATATATTTGTATTGCTTGAATAAAGATTATTATTTATTCCACATTTTACTGATTCAGTTGCATTTTTCCGTGTAAACATACTAAGAGATTATCCTGCGTAATCGTGAACTTAGCATTTGGAATAACAAAATACAGCTCATAACAAAAGAATTTTGAAATATAACAATAAAAAGAGAGAAACATGGGACCTTGTACAACTTTTAGGGGGGGTTCGGTCCCCCCAGCCTACGGGCCTGAGTATTTGAAATATGAACCATAAAAAGTAGATCAAGAGGAGTCCCCAGTTCACGAAGCTGTGCCTCTAGAAGAAGGAGCAATGTCAAAAACGTCCTCCTACTTTGACGTTGTACATTTAAATTTATTCTTAAATCCAACCGRTTGTTTTCTTAGAAACACTGACGGTGCTCAGAATACTTTTTAAAGTATTAAAAATTAAAAATAAATTAATAAAATAAATTAAAAATAGTCAATGATTTGTATAGTTRCATATTCAACAAAATAATACTTTTTCATTGGTCGAGAGGAGTACTAAGTAAAAATAAAAAAACAGACATTTTAACAAAAAATCAATATATATTTTTTTTACTTTCGAATTTTAAGTATGCTATTAACGTGTCTTATATATTACATATAGTATTATAAAATCATCGGGCTCGTGCCACTTTCAAAACATTACTGGTGACTCAATTAATTCCATTGTACTCAACGTCGTGAGATTTCCTATACAAATATGCCTGATTAAGCGGGAATTTMATTGGTTTTTAATTCATCTATTATCACTCTTCAAATGTTTTATGCACAAAATTTTTTATAATATCATTGATCGCAGAACTTGATTTATTTGATAGAAAACAACAGAGTCGGGGGACAGACAAGCAAAGAACACCTGMCCTTATTTCAAATTTGCTTTATCACGCGGAAAATTTGCTCAGGACGCGGAATTTACTTCACTGATGCAGCTACGTATCCGTGCATCCTGTCGATTGCCCTGATATTTGCCTTTGCATGCACATCTAGAACAGCGTCAGGCGCGTGGCGTTTTTTACGCATATACGCACGTGCGCACTAGTGGCATTTTGCTTGCAAAAATAATTAAAAATTCACATAAATTTGATGCCTTTCAAATGCTCTTGATGCCCCTCAAAACGCTGGAAATCGCATTTCCAAGAGTTATTATTTCAACCCCCCTTAATACTCCCGCCTTCGGCGGTCGTTAGCCTCCCCAATCAATCCACAATATGTGTCACGGTCCCTGACATGTGCGTACTAGCCAAAAGGTCCATGCTAGGTGCCTGAGCGAGCCCCCTATTGTAAAAGCAAGTAGTGTTTTCTTCATYATACCTAAGTATACTAATGTCAATTTATTATGAAATAAAAATAATAAAAATAATAGCCTCAATAGTAGGCTCAGAGCACGGTGAAAATTACACTAAATTCAACATCTGAACTTAATAAAAAAACATAAACTATTAACAATGGTAAAAATTCATAGCTTGGGTTACCTGTGAGTAAATTCGCGCAAACCCGTGTATACTGACCTTCACGTCATCACCAAAGGTCATGAGTATTCTGTTTCATTTAAATGTACTTGTCTCAAGAGGATACCTATCCTTCGAGTTAGGATTCTCGAGTTGGATTCTCGAGTTGGATTTTCGAGTTGGATTCTCGAGTTGGATTTTCGAGTTGGATTTTCGTATAGGATTTTCATTTTATTTATATATATCATATATT